AAATTGAAAAAGTTGGGGTGGAGGGGAGGCTCATACAAGCCTTAAAACATTTGAATTCTTTACACAAAAAAATTTCATTTAGTAGTAAAGGCATTTTTTCATTTAAAAAAAAACAAACCTCAATAAAACTTTTTATCAACCAGCTTTTTTGACCAGCTCTATGAACCTAAATTATTCAGTCTACTCATTTATGACCTAAAGGATCAAATAAATTAAACTCCCATTAAATCTATGGCACCAAGATAATATCACAAAACAAGTGTAGATAAAACAATGTAAAATTAAAATTGCCTGAGGGGAAATGAGATGAGATTTAATGTAAGGAAGTACAGTTGAATACCTTAAAGGCATTAGTTGATGCATGTATATATGCTAAATAGGAGGGCAGCTATGTGTCTGTATAGTATTTGCATAGTTCTTGTGAGAAAAGAGACTTGGGGCCAACTGTGGATAATAAACCAAATATGAATTTATAGTGTGCTGCTGCTGAAAAATTAATAAAGTTTGGGGGGTTATATGCAGAACTATGTCTGCTGCGAGACATTAGCATCACTTCATACTGCATCTCTTGTGTTCTTGGGGAGGTTAAGCATAATTATAGTGACATAAAGCGTCCCTTTTCTTGGTTATCTATAACTCAGAAACCGTGTCCAGCAGCATAGCGAACTTGTAAAACGGGTACAATGCCCAAACGTATGTGCCACCCACAAGGGTAGACTCCTGATGCTTCAGTTATATTCCTTGTGTTCCTCGCTCTGCTTTCTCCAATACCTTATTTAGGAGGAGAAACAGAAGCATGAATTTTAAATGAATCAAGGCAAGACAAATAAATACAATTCCCAGGAGCCACCACAGGAATTCTGCCACCTGGATGGAGACAGCATGTCAAGGGAGATGAAGATCAGAAAGAGAGCATGACCTGCCTGGGTTACTATGGGCAGGAGAGATGTCGACGGGGTAAAGCAATGGGTCAAGGATAAAGAACAATTCCAAAGCAATCTTTATGATACTAAAGCATGGGAGCCGGGACAAAGGAAGGCGTCTGAAACAGCACATTGTAACTGGGGAAAACCAAAACAGTTTAAGCTGTTTCGGAGCTTATGAGCATGTGCACACAGCCTTTACACTGAGGTGGATATGCTACTTCTGGTTTGCAACGTAATGTGAAGACTGAGTGCAGCATATCATTGCGACACGCCCCAAATTCCTATATCCAGGTACCTCGGTTATCTTTGGCTTCTTTGGGACTAGCCTACTCATAGGCTTAAGCTAAGTACTCATTGAAATGCTCTACTGGACCGCAGCCTTTACTGACTCTTTCCTCCATTCTCGTTCACTGTGCCTTTCTTCTCGGAGCTGTATTGAAATTGGTTCATCTGTTCACTTTTAGCAGAGTGGCTAGTCCTGGGCATCTTAGAGTTTGAGAGATCCTGCAGGACCTCTGAGCCAAGTAAACCGTAGCCATTTCATAGACTTATAAATCATGCTACCCAAAGAAATCCCAGATATGGCAAAAATATAACACAGGAAGAAATCAAGGGAAAACCCTTTGGACCAGGCCATGCCCCTGAATGTTCAAACTATGTTGCTGTCTTCATTCGTTCTGTGTCTCAGTGAGCTGGCCAGGCGAAAACTGGTTTTCAATTCATTTCCAAGAAAAATATTGCTGCCAAATGTGAGATTAAATGGCTATTTCCTCCAGTTTTTGTATAACTCTGTGACTTCATTTTGTATTTTTCAGCAGTATGTGTGTCCCCCCTCCCAATAATTCTAGCAGTTTTCAATTTCCTCTACCAGACCGAGATTAATTTTAATGGCAAACTTCCTTTGATGCACCTGGCCTCCAACACAAAACCATAAATCAGCTGTACCTGTTGTGCACTAGCTGAGGCTTTGATAACCAAATAAGCTTATCGGTGTTACCCAATCCTCCCCCTTCTTCCTATTGTTTGCAAAACCCACTGGTGTCTTGTCTTACATTTTAGCTGCCAGCTCCGGAGGCGGGGGGG